AGTGGTACAAAAAAATATCACAAGGAGGTACATACCGAATCATCCTCATCAAGATCTTTATCTCCAAATTATGGATCAGTCCCATCACCAACAGCAAGTGATGCAGCAGGGACAGTTTGCAGTTCCATATATATCAATACCCAGTAAATGAAACCGTAGATTTATAAAATCGACCGATTCACCCAAAAAACGAAGAACATATGGCAGTTTCAAACTATATTGAAAAGTAGAAATAATGCAGGCAATAGAAAGATGAAACAAATCATAGATACAGATCTAGTACCCAAAATCGATTTAAAACTCGGCAATTTGGATGTATTTGAGATAACGAATAAGAGAGATTGACAAAAAATAAGAGGAGAAGTTTGAGAAAAGAGAAAGAAATGAACATATGGATATGAAAAAAAAAAGATTATATGATAATTAGGTCTTTTTAATTCCGCGTGATAAAAGAAACAGAGAGATTTTAATCACATCCATTTAAAGTAGAAATTAAGTCATTAATAATAACAAAATGAACTAAAGATAATGAAAAATTTAATGCAGACGTGTGAAAACGTGTGATAGAGAGGAGAGATAATACACTAGGCGAGTGAAGGTAATACATGAAGAATTGATGGTAAAATACTCTCTCAATTGTAGCAATGAAATAGGTCTTATTGTTTTTTTAATAATGCTGAACAGTATTGCTAGTGGATGCAAATACTCTAAATACTAATACTTCTTTTATAAAAAGTTTCTTTATTTTCAAATAGAAACACATTATTTTACAGATCCCGATCCACTGTTAAATATAGAACAAAGTGATACCATAAACGGGCTTTTTTGAACTAGCGTGATATAGACGCGCCTTTCAAGTTTATTATATATGCGCTAAATTATTGGGAGAATGGAAGAGCATGCGGCTAAGAACCGAAGAAGCTTCCGTAGGAATATCGTGGGGATTCGATGACTCTCCACTCTCGAGGCTCATTTCTTAAAGGTTAGGCTAGGCCCTTCTTGCTTACTTTCTCACGTGCTACACGTGATTAGTTAACGAATGTTACGCACGAAAGCGATTAAGATAGGGTGTCGGTGACAGTGAGGGTGCACTATATGGTCTGTGCTCGCGAATGCAGATTATTCGTCACTAGCAGGCGAGACATGTATTATGGGCCGTTTATGGCCCACTAGGTTTCCCTCGAGTTGTAATCATTTATTTTGTCTTGGGTCACCACGTGTTCATATGATTGATTTAAGCGGTGATACATATGAAGAATGCATTCTTTTTATATATATTTTTTTTTTGTTGAACATCCACATTCTTTTTTATATCTACGCAAGCTTTAAGTGTACATGAAACTAATTGTACATGCATTAATTGTTTTAAGCCTAAAAGATACTGTCTTTTTATTCCACTATTTTTTACCGGTTGCATATATCAATAGGGTTGAAGATGAAACTCTAATCAAGTGACAAACAGGAAGATTTAGTCACTAAAGCATGTAGTAATTGTTACGGTCACGGATGAAACAAATCAAAATTATTAATTAAGGGACTATTTAGATTTACAATTTACCTTGTGGCTGCTCTATCTTTTTTTTTTTTTTTCTTCAGAATTGATTTTAAATAACTTTACAGAAATATTGAGCAAAAATCTTTAAAAACCCAAAATTCATAACACAAATCTTTTATGCCCTTTTCTTATTATTTATTTTTATTTTTTATAAACGTAAGCAATTACAATTACAGATAAACCCTTGATGAATTAGACTTATTACATGATCCAACCACCGATCCGACACCGATCCGATCCGAAGCCGGAAAAGTAAAAAAAAAAAACTTTAATATAAAAAAATCAGTTTTCATTCGCAAAAAAAAAAAATCTCACTCTCCTCCTCTCTTTTGCGACTTTGCGATAACCCG